TAGTCGACTATCAAAATAATCGTCTGTGGCAGCCCTAATCATCATATGGATTTAACTTCATGGTTTCATTTTTTGTTATCGAAGTTTTACTGGTGATTCCTAACTGGTGATCATAAACCTGCTGTGTGCTTTTGCCTGCTTCCTGTGAGCTGCACACAAGCACTCAGATGTCCTCCGTCTGTCTGTACTGGAAAAGAGAAACGTCCTCGTGAGGATTTTCCTCCCGTCTTTGGCTCAGTCTGGTCTCACAGCATCGTGTTTGTTTGTGTGGGGTCCTGCTGCTGTAACATTGTGCTGTTTGCAGGTCTGTACGGTCTTCCAAAGAGGAACGGCAAACTCAAAGACATCAGCCACTTCGATGCAGCCTTCTTTGGAGTCCACCCCAAACAGGCCAACAGCATGGACCCGCAGCTGCGCCTCATGCTGGAGATCGCCTACGAGGCTATTGTAGATGCAGGTGAGAGCAAACGCGTGGCGAGCTGAGGTTTGGTTTGCAGTGGGGGAAAGACGACATGTGAATGAAAATGAAATGTTGTGCTGCAGGACTGAATCCAGCCACGCTGCGCGGCAGCAAAACAGGCGTGTACATCGGTGTGAGCGGCTCCGAGGCGGGCGAAGCCTTCAGCAGAGATCCAGAGGAGCTCCTGGGCTACAGCATGACGGGCTGCCAGCGCGGCATGTTGGCCAATAGGCTGTCCTACTTCTTCGACTTCAGCGGTACGTGCACGCAGCGCTGCTCAGCACGTGTGTTTGCAGTGCTGTCAGTGTGAGACACACTCAGGTTTAGCTCTGCTGCAGCTCAGGATGACCTTTGATCTTAGAGTCTGCAGATCAGTGACGTGCAGCAGCGTTTGTGTCGACAGGCAGGACGTGCAGAGAGCGCGCACGCTGCAGCTGCACTGCTTTGAATGAACGACCTGGGCTCTGATTTTATTCGTCCACTGAATTATTGCTGATATATTTTGTGTGTTTTTACTCTGTTGCTCGCTCTGTGCCGTAGTGGCGCCCGGCTCTAACCCTGCTGCCTTTGTTCTCCAGGTCCCAGCACTGCCATAGACACGGCGTGCTCCTCTAGCCTGCTGGCTCTAGAAAACGCCTTCCACGCCATCCGGCAGGGCCACTGTGACGCTGCTTTAGTTGGGGGAGTGAACCTGCTTCTCAAGCCGAACACTTCAGTGCAGTTCATGAAGCTGGGCATGCTCAGTCCAGAGGGCACCTGCAAGTCATTTGATGCTTCAGGTAGAACATCAGCTGGTCTACGATGGGGAGGAGCCGCTGCTCCACCGGCTGTCGGCGCATTTCATCTGTGCTACGTTTACTTTGACGTTTGTCGATTAACTCACTGACGTAGAACGTTTTGTGTCTCAGCTTTAACTCTGACATGCACACGAGCGCGCTGCAGGGTTAAAGCGTCACGTTTGTGTTGGCAGGAAATGGATACTGCCGCTCGGAGGCAGCGGTGGCAGTGCTGCTGACTAAACGACCAGCGGCTAGGAGAGTGTACGCCACAGTGATCAACGCGGGCAACAACACAGACGGATACAAAGAGCAAGGTAAGGAGGTCCAGGGGAGCACAGGAAGTCACGGCCGATCGGAGAGATGGTTTCGTTTAGCGGTTTTGTGTGCCGTGCTCACGCAGGGGTGACGTTTCCGTCTGGCGAGATGCAGCAGAGGCTGGTTCGCTCACTCTACCAGGAGGCCGGCGTGTCTCCGGAGCAGGTGGAGTACATCGAAGCCCACGGCACCGGGACAAAGGTCAGCGCGGCTGTCAGGTGTCGCCACAGAGAGGCGCTCTTACTAACCAGATCCACCGTATTTAACCTCGGCTCTGTCCACGCAGGTCGGCGACCCGCAGGAAGTGAATGGCATCGTCAGCGTTTTCTGCGAGTCAAAGCGAGAGCCTCTGCTGATTGGCTCCACCAAGTCCAACATGGGCCATCCAGAGCCGGCCTCTGGGCTGGCCGCCCTGGCAAAGGTTTGACACCACAGTCGTCTTCTAATGTTGTCATCGAGAACGTGTGACGATGGAAACATCCATCAGCTGGCAGACAGTACAGATCAGAACACTGTGTCCTGTATGCAGCCATTGCCGGGTGGAGCCACACCCACCCAAACACTCCTCCTCCACTCGTCCTTTAATGGCGTCAAATATTCTGAAGTGCTGCTCAGCAGAACCCTGCAGCTGCTGTTTTTATGATGAGCTCTGCGTTAAACTGCAATCATGAGTCATTATTAGCTTCTTGCATTAAACCGCTGCTCTTGTGTTTGATGCGACGTGCAGGTGCTGCTCTCTCTGGAGCGAGGAGTCTGGGCCCCCAACCTGCACTTCCTGCATCCTAACCCTGACATCCCCGCCCTCGCCGACGGCCGGGTTCGCGTCGTCGATCGGCCCGTCCCCGTCCGAGGAGGCGTCGTAGGGATCAACTCCTTTGGATTCGGAGGTTCCAACGTTCACGTCATCCTTCGTCCGGCTGAGAAATCGGCTGCCTCGGCTTCACCCGGGAAGCTTCCCAGAACGCTTCAGGCCTGCGGGCGCACAGAGACGGCGGTGAGCTCCGTCCTGCAGAAGGGGAAGGAACACGCTGCGGACGACGCCTTCCTGTCTCTGCTGAACGATGTGTCAGGAGCGCCCGCCGCCAGCATGCCCTACAGAGGCTTCGCTCTGATTGGCTCTCAGAGCGACGTTGTGGAAGTGCAGCAGGTGCCGGGCGCCGCCAGGCCTCTGTGGTACGTTTGTTCAGGTGAGTCGCTGCACGCAGTCATAGTACGAAGATGTTTGGACAGATTTGGGGTGAACGATGAGCTCGATGGAGGAACGAGAACGTTTTATTTAAAAGGGTTTGAGCAGAGCTGCGATGCAGAGCTGCGATGCAGAGCTGCGATGCAGAGCTGCACGCACCTCATATACCAACGTGTTGCTGCGCGCTGTCTGTAATGCAGGTATGGGGACGCAGTGGGCCGGGATGGGCCGCAGTCTCATGCAGCTGCCAGACTTCAGAGACTCCATTCTGCGGTCCGATGCGGCGCTGAAGGAGACGGGGCTGGTGGTGTCTCGCCTGCTCATGGAGGCTCAGGAGGACACGTTCGAAGACACCGTTCACGCCTTCGTTGGCCTGGCTGCAGTACAGGTACAGCACTGCAGCGATGCTGCCTCACAGAGAAAATGGAAGCATTTCAACACGTTTGTTTTCAAAGCTTCGAGTCGAGCACAGATCCATGTGTACCACACAAACCTTTATTTATGACCCGACCAATCACTGTGCCCCTGCTTTAACTCACTCTGTGGAAACGTCTCACTCTGTGGAAACGAGTGTTTAGTCTGAGCTCACAGTGAGGAAGAGTTATTGGGTGTTTTTACCTCTCAGCTGGAAAAGGCTGAGCGGAGCTTCAAACCGATACCTTAGATGTTCTTACTGAAAATGTCAGATGAGTTTGGATCTCAGTGACCCCCGACCTCAACATCAGGGGTCAGAGGTCAAGCTTTGTGAAAATCTTGTGAATGCATTGCACAGTCGAGCCAAATTAGACCGTAGAGCACCAGAAAGAGCTGCAGCGATCTGTGGGCACGAGGAGGAGGAGCATAAAGATGCAGTGGCCTTCTACGGCTGCTGAGTTCACAGGTGACGATGACTCAGAGCAATCGTCGTGTTTTATCTCCTTACAGATCGCGCAGATCGATCTGCTCACCGAGCTGGGTCTGCAGCCCGACGGCATCGTGGGGCACTCGGTGGGAGAGCTGGCCTGTGGCTATGCTGACCGCTCCCTGAGTCACAGCGAGGCCCTGCTGGCGGCGTACTGGAGAGGCCGCTGCATCAAGGAGGCCCGCCTTCCTCCAGGAGGCATGGCTGCAGTGGGTGAGCGCGTCTTCTTTTAACAGATGGGACTCTGTAGGGTCGGACGCCATGTTTGAGCTTTGTGCTTCCTGTGTGTGTTGCAGGGCTGACCTGGGAGGAGTGCATCGCTCAGTGTCCTGAGGGCGTGGTTCCAGCCTGCCACAACGCTGAGGACACCGTCACCATCTCCGGCCCTCAGGTAGTTCCTGGTTTTTCTAGCAGCTTGAATTTTTCTTTTCTGCTGGTTGGTTCAGTTTGAGTCATGGCACCAAATCAAGGTGCTCACATGCAGCACGTCTGTTTTACCTGAGCTTCATGTTTTATATGACACACGTGATCGCCGTGACGCTCAGTGTGTTTTAAACTGTGGAAGCTGTGTCCTGCTGTACAGCTGTGGTCCCAGATGTTTGAACATGTGCCACGTTTGATCTTTAGGAAGCAGTCAGTGCCTTTGTGTCCGAGCTCAAACAACAAGGAGTGTTTGCAAAGGAGGTGCGCAGTGCCGGGGTGGCGTTTCACTCCTACTACATGGCCTCCATCGCTCCAGCCCTGCTCGCAGCTCTGAAGAAGGTACGTAGCGCCGCACGTCCCATCCGTGCTCGGTCCTGTCAGGCGCGACACTGTCACAGGAAACTGGTGCAGACTGCTGCTGAATATTAATGAGCTGCCATCCTGTCACTGCAGGTGATCAAAG